GTAGCCGCACGTGAGACTTATTATTTTTTTTTTGCGCCCGAAGCAATTAAAGGGCTACCCTATACGTAGGGAGGCGGAAAATGCATTACGCATACCACGATAGCCGGTCTATCGTGGTTATGAGGGGCTCACTGTCCTACCGGGGACCCTAAGTGATACCCTCTACAAACCGCCTTTGGGGACAGGCAACCGGCTGATTAAGCTCTATTGTGCCTTATCATGAGCGACCCTCTTTTGGGAAAAGAGGGCGCAGATGCACGTGAGATTTATCTGATAAAATTTTCTATGGCAGTAATGCAGTGTATTTTTATTAATAAAATGAGCAGCAGTTGCGGTAATAACCGTTAGATAAACGCATGCTCCGTCCTATTTTATTAATAATATTATTCTAGAACACTGGAAAATCTAGCGTAGACACATGCATAAAATTCAGACAAAAAGCATCGTTGATTTTTTTTATAGGATAGGGTGACAAAATGTAATCAAAGTTGACAAACGAGTACACAGTCCACCTGATGGCAAGTGGTTGTTGTCGCCCATCATCATAGACATCTACATCTATCCTCGATTACGAATCAAAATACAGATGCGTTATCACCAGTGAGGAATAAGTTGGAAAGCCTCATTTCCAGTAAAAGGGTCTACGGTTCTCTACACTCTACTACACTCACCGTACGAAACACAGCAGCAATTTTGCGCTGGTATTCTGTTTCGTGATTCGTGCTGCAACTATACTACTAATATAACTGCATTATGGCTCTACCACGTGTTAAATTGATAAGTTAGTTGTTCGGCGATGTGATTTTGGCTCTTCTTCAGTAAGAATTTCTCTGATTGATGAAACGTACTTATGATTTACTATTATGTGATCAAAACAACAAAGAAAAATACTATTACGCAAATTTTCATGAATAATATCTTGATTATTTTTGTGCGTATTTTAGAAACATACAAATAATGCCGTCATCAGCAAGACGCGCTCAATCCCTACCGGTTTTTAAGAATCTTGTATATAATTAATAATTATTATTTCCAACTTCGATTTTATCAAATTCATATGATTCTATAATTATTCTACCTTTATCGAGCTACAATATTTGTTTATATGTATGACATATATATGTTAGATCTTTATATGTTATAGTTTCAAAACCAAATATATATGTATATATTAATAAGTGTGTATGTACTTATCTTATCTATGTACATGTGTACTAATCTATATTATGCATCTCTCTTTCAATTTTATGGTTTATAATAAAAATAATGTTGTTATTGTCGTCAAACCACACATATGGTTTTATTGTTTTCTTGCAATCTTGTCCATCTAAAGGTCGTCTGGAAGAGATCACTCGTAGCGATAAGACCGCCCATTGTACCACATTTCTTTCTCTCCTTTTTTTGTTAATGTTTATGTTTTTTTTTCGCGTGCAATAAAGTGTTATCTATCTATCTATCTATAATGGCACAGTGCGTAGTTATGAGAAATAATATCTTATGTTTCCTACAAGACTAAAACCAGCGCCACAATATTCCATGTACCTTATCAGTGTATTTTTTGTGCATAATATTATTTGTTTATTTGTATTTAGTCTGGCTTTTAGTTATTTCATGTCAATGTATTTGCATTAAATAAAATTATTTTCTTTCTTTCTAAAGTTTAATGCATTAATGGCTTAAAATTCTCTCATTGATATCCATATGGTGTATTAGAAGTGAGAAATGAAAAAACGACCTACATAAAATTTACTTCGTTAGACAATTCAGTGTTCAAAATATGTATAAAATACGCACGAATAAAATCGCAGACTCGTTTAAGTTTGTAAAGCTCAGTGACGTTGTTCAAGCCTACCATTCTGGAGCAACAATGACGCGTGGGCTCTTCATTATTTTATGATTTATTTATCAACAAGACAAGTGTACAATACCTTTTTAGGACGTCGTCACGATTTGTTTGATAACCAAGGCTATGTCTCATATAAATAGGGCTTAATTTCAATAATTGAACTTAAAATTGCTTGGCCATTATTGATCAAACTGGACTTTTATGTAGGTGTTTTTTGTACTATGAACAAAGGTTTTCCTCGTTATATAATTTTGTGTTTTTATGAATCAGACGACATTTTCGATATTTGGCCGCAAAAAATGCACATTACTAAAACTGACTGTATCCCGATCGCCGAATGCGATGAGGCGGGCTTAGTAAAGAAAGAACTTTATTGCTGAATTGATAACTAATTGCGTCAATACGAAATTCAGAAAGTCATAATAATATATATAATAATATAATCAAGAAATTTTATCATACTTTTAGTTTATTTGATTATGGACTCACACGATTTGTACTTTTGTCTCTGTCAAATAATCGATAATTATAAATACCTACATTCGTAATAGTTTATTAACAAAATTCAGCACATCATTTAAGGGGAAATATAACCTCAAATGGCTTAACAAGATCCTCCGTTATGCCGAAAATATTGCAGCATTAATTTTGAAATAAATATATGGTAAAGTTGAGGATTAATGTTAAGGACTATGTTAGACAAAAACACGATTTTGTAAAATTTTCTCTATAGAAAAAAATCCAAAGTTACCTACAAAATAAACAATAAACTGCTGTTATTCATAAAATACTTTACATAAGATCATGAAACTTCGCATACTAACTGAACTAACTATAAAGCAGTGCTTATGTTATTTACTTTTTTTTAAATACCATTATGTTTCCTGTAAAAAGAAATTACCTAAACTATCGGCTTCTTGAAGCTTGATTCCTGCCTAGTGTTGCAACTTTAGCGACTTTGTCGCTAGATCTAACGACTTTTTTGTTAGTTTAGGGAGTTTAATTCAATGTTTAGCGACAAAAAATATTCTGGCGACTTTTAGCGACATTTGCACAATCTGTACATACTTCAATTTTTGGTACCATCTGACAACTTTAGGCGTAAGGAATATACTCTATCCGGGCATTTTTTATTTGTTTGTAGTGGGCAATATCACGTTGTCCACTATAGTTAATTTTTTCCTAGCTAAAATTGAATCCCGCTCTCTAGTTAAATCTTATTTCTTAAAGAAATTGGAATATCAGGCATTCTAAATTACCATTTATATTATAATTTTACCATAAATTATAAGAAAAAAATTAAAATTGGTTTGACAATTTCTATTTTTTATCACTGTCCCATCTTGTTCATGTCAGACATTTTACCTCGCTATTTCAATTACAATCACGATATTTTTACATTTATGGTGTCATTACAAGAAACGCAAGCTCACTTTCCATTTTAATTAATGAAGTTTTAATCAATATTTTAAAATATAATGAAATAAACAGTTTAGTGAATGGTTTAAAAGTTGGGCATGGTGGAAAATTCCGCTGAGTTACGCTTATATTTCCAAGACAGTATCTAAATTTACTACAATAGTATTATTATCATAAAATAGCAACCCTACAATGGTTGGTTCACAATAAGTCAGCCATTTTGAATTCACAGTTCGAATGTAACATCGTTAAAACTTTGTACAGTACCGGTTAGTGCGGGTTAAAAATTCAGCTGATTTACGAAGATTCCATAGTAAGTACGCTTGTTTTACTGTTTTAAAGAGTATTTATTAGACGTATAATTTACTATTTGATAATAAGGCAACAGTTTGACTGAATTAGACTTGTCTTTTGACGAATTTTAAAAAAAAATCAGTTTTAACTTAAAATCCGTGACGTCAGCTGAGAAACATTCACTCAGTGGATAGTTTTTCGTAACTCAGTGGAACGTAAGCCGTCATTAAACTGAGTTTTATGAAGTACCTAGTAAAACAATTTCATATCAATTATATTTGAAGGTAATTTTGTTCTGCATCTTTTTATAAAGCCTGGGCACCAGCCGAGGCTTCTAGCTGTATGTTTTTTTTTATTAAATTGTTTCTACACACGCGAAGTTGCTATGTTTGTTTTAAAGCTGAAAGATTAAGTAATACTTTTAACATTATCCGTAATGTAATTTTTGTATTATGTACGTACTTTAATTGACATCGAACGGCGATCGCTAGACAGTAATTTGAATTTTATATTAAACAAGCGGCAAACTGCGACTTTGTCTTTCAACCGTTTCAGCGTGATTGAGTAACGAACAAACATCTATACTCTCGCATTTATTATATCAGTAGGATTTAATCATTTATATTGGTTTATTAGGTGTCAAAATGGCTCTCACTCCTGCGGAACGCATGAAAAAATATAGAGAGAAGTTGAAAGCAGATCCACAAAAATACAAACAAGTCAAGAACAAACATGCAGCAAAAGTAAAAAATAAAACTCAGGATAAAAATGAAAAAAATATATCATCTACTGTGAATACTCGAAATAAGAAGAGGACGTTAAGAAATAGATTAGCCCGTAAATATAATGCCGCCATAAAAAAAAATTCAAAATTTGAAAACAGCACTTGAGACGTCAAGAAAACGCCTATATCGCTATAATAAAGAAACAAATAAAAAGAGTAGCAGATGGAATAGGTGGTGCAGTAAAGAGGTCCCTGGTCAAACAGGTAGCTTATGGTAATGATGTTTCCTGTGGTGAGCAAGCTGTGAAGATATTGTCAAAATGCATAAATGCAGTGAAATGTCTTTATATAATTGACAATGATATAGACAACATAAATAAACTGGTTCCCGAAGACTTGAAGCCTTTAACAGGCACTATGCAGACACATCAAGTTATTGTTAAATCACCTGGAGAAATTCAATATCCCCCACTATCTTGTTTTTGTGGCTTCCACAGAGGATTGTGTGATTGCTTTGGCTTATTTACTCATACCTACGGAAAACCATTCTAAAAAACTGAACCGAGTTGCTCTAATCGTACTAGTAAAGTTACAATAACAGCTGAAACTCATGCAATGCTAATCCTTAGTTCAAAAAAAGTTGTATCTGTCTCGTCCAAACAAACACATAAAATTCCCACAAATTGTGGGGAAGAGTAAGACATTATAGAAGAAGAAATGGTTAGCGACAATGGACAGGAAAAGGAAAAACAAGAGAGAGTAGAAGAAATTTATTATACAACATTTAAATGTAGAGAAAAGGATAAAGTAAAAATAGGCAAAGAAGTCAGTGATGAGATAATAGGATCGGAAGAAAAAAAGGGACAAGACAAAGGATACGAGATCAGTGGTGCGGCATTTGATTCAATTATAATTCCTTTAGATAAAGATTTGTTATTTGATTTAAATAATTTTGAAGAAATATGTGATGATCTAGAAGTTTTGGACGAGACAGACGTCAATGTCGACAACAGCAAACATAAAATAACCAATAGAAAGCGAAATTGCATTCAAGAAGAGAAGTGGGAAATTAAAACACAAAAGATACCTAAATTAAATACAGAGCAGTCAGCCGTCACTCTAAGTGCCATAAATGTAAAATTCGAACATCATGGCAATTAATGAAAAAAAATTGCGTGTAAAAATTTTGTTTGTTTTACTTGCGATAGTTGGATTATACCCATGAGGAAACTTATTTTATTTAATGTTTTTATTGTTAAATAAAGAAGATCTCATATATTTAATTAATATTAACCTTCTCGATACTTGTATTTAATTACTTATTTAAGTTTTAATTTAGATCTCACTTTTTGCCAAATAAACAAAACTTTATTATGTTAATTTAATCACAGTGTAACTCAGAAGATAGAAAATTATGTTTCTTTTTATGTTTAAATAGTGTTTTAGAAATCTTTGAGAGAATTTAAAATAAAATGTTTAGTTTCTTTAATAAATAAAGATTATTAATTGTACTTTTCTTTTAATTTAATTATAAACGGGAGTACTTAATGTGTAACGCAGCAGAAGAAGATTTTACGTCATTTTCCATTCAAGTTGCAATTTTGTCAAATTCTACCGCATTTTCTCTTATTCTTTTTTATTATAAAAAAATTTAGATATTATAGAATCAATCCGAAGTAAAAAAACCCCAATATCATGACAAATTTTTTTTTGGCGTCATTTTGTCACCATACAAACTTTTATAAAACCGCCCATCCACTAACGAAATTATAAAATGTAAAGGAACCGAAACAAAGGTTCTTTGGATGTCGCTTTTACAAACACATATAAAACATCACAACAATATTCCTAATGGAAAAATGTTATGTTATTTATTTGTAATAGGTAATCCTGTTACAAATAAATCACATAACATGTACTTCATCAAAATCTCTTGCTTTCAAAATTAAAATTAATAACAACGTAACATACGTAAGAAATAATTTTAAAATAAAAATGAACCGCCTTATAAATCCTAAAGCAACTAAAAGTCAAATAATCATTTTACACAGTACTTATTTTAAATAGTATTATTTAAAGAAAACATTATGACAATAGAGAATTATTAAAAGTTTTATTTAAAATGAGAATAAGTTATTTCCTAATTTGGTCGGATTACACCTACCACGTTGTTTTCACTCCTTATTTGTTTACATTTTATCGGTTTTATTTGCTTTGATCGGGACTTCCTCGATAGTTATATTTATAATATTCATTCTTGTCACTTTAGTCTTGTTGCGCGCAATACTTACGTAAGTACGTTTAGTGGTTTTTTTTAAATCTCCCGTGTATCTAATTTTATTTGTTTCCATTTAAAAGTGATTGTTTGTTATTTAATTAAATTTATTATTAATCAAGATTATAAAATGAATGTACCGCTGAAGAAAAAAAACCTGCAGTCAAAAATTCAGAAAGGAATGGGAAGACGAATTTAAATGACGAAATTAACCCGTGAGAAGGCGCGCTATGAGCAATTTGCTCACACAAAAATTTAATTCAAAAATTTTTTGTCTTTCTCTTGCCACACCAATTCAAGCACTTAAGTACCTTCCTAAATATTCACCCCCTCTCCCCTGACGCAATTCTCGATCCGCTCAGTGGCGTTGCGACCGCGCAGCAAGGTTTTTGTGGAGGCCGTGTCCACCATCATAGCCCCATCCGTGTAAGTATTTATTTTTGTGGTTTAAAAAAGTTAGATTGTTATTTCTGCCATATTATTTCTTCTTATTATTATTATTATTTTGATTTATATTAGTTGATTATCATGTAAAAACTCTTTAGTAATAATATTATTATTTTTATTTTTCTTCTAGCTACACTACAGATACAAAATGGACGATCGAATGCAAGCACAAATTCGTTCGTGGTTGGAAGAGGATTCTGGTGATGAATTGGATGCAGATCTTGAAAATGGGGAACAATATCGTGTTGACACCATAGAAAGTGATAGTTCTGTCATCCGTAGTCCTCACGAAACTGATACTGAGCAATCGTCGGATGAAAACGATGCTGATATTTCTACTCCCGCGACTCAACAACAAAGAGGTAGGATCCCATACTATATTGGCAAAGATCGTTCCACAAAATGGCTTATCCACAAGCCTTATACTAGGAGTTATAACATAGTTATCCACCTGCCAGGAGTAAAAAATGTAGCTAAGAATGCAAAAGAACCTTTACAATGTTTCTCATTGTTTGTGGATGATACCATGATAGACAAAATAGTCCTGTACACGAATGTGTACATAACTAAACTACAAGAAAAGTTTTCAAGTGAACGGGATTGCAAACTTACAGATGCAGTTGAAATAAAAGCATTGATCGGAGTTTTGTACATGGCGGGCTTGAAAAAGATCTGACATTTAAATGTAAAAGAAATGTGGCTAGATGATGGAACAGCATGTGATTTTTTTAGAGCAACCATGTCAATAAAAAAGATTTTTATTTTTTGTTACGGGTTTTGCGATTCGATGACATAAATACTCGTGATAACAGAAAGGAAACCGACCACCTGGCACCAATCCGAGAAACTTTTGAAAGCTTTGTTGTTCATTGTAATCAAAATTACACACCCGGGGAATACTGCACTGTGGATGAAATGTTGGTATCATTCAGAGGCCGCTGTAAATTTAGAGTTTATATATCCAACAAACCCGTAAAGTACGGCATCAATATCAAAGCACTTGTAGATTCCAAAACCTTCTACACAAGTAATATGGAGATTTACGCGGAAAAACAACCCGCAGGGCCATTCAGTTTGAGTAACTCCGCTGCTGATGTAGTGAAGAGAATTGCACAACCCATATTGAACACGGGAAGAAATATAACTGTGGACCATTATTTTACATCCATACCGTTGTTTGATGAACTGAAAAACACCTACAGAACAACTGCGGTGGGAACACTGCGAAAAAATAAAAAAAGAGATTCCGCCTTCCTTTTTTGTCAACAAAGGATAGGCCAATGCCAAGTTCAATTTTTGGTTTCGGTGAAGATAAGATAATCTTATCATATGTGCCAAAGAAAAAAACAAAGAAGATTGTCCTTATGCTATCAACACTTCACAATGACGACGCTATAGACCAAGAAACTGGAAGTGAAGCTAAACCTGAGATTGTAACATTTTACAATTCCACAAAAGGAGGCGTAGATGTTTTAGATCAAAAGAAAGAGGATTATTCCGTTGCCAGAATTATATCAAGATGGCCACTTTGAAAATCGGGATCAATGCCCAAATAATATACAAAGCCAACACAAACACTCTGATTGAGAGACGAACATTCTTGAAAGAGGTGGCTCTCGAGCTGGTGAAACCACATATTTCACGCCGGATTCGCATGGAGAACATATCCTCAGATCTCAAATTTCTAATGAAGCGATTTGTGCCGGCTCCTGTGCCTGTTGCGGAGCCAGGACCAAGAGGATTTTGTGCAATATGTCCTAGACGTAAAAATAGAAGGTTAAAAAAACCATGTACTTCGTGCAAGCAATTACTTTGCACCGAACATGTAAAATACATGTATTCAGTGTGTTTCGAGAGACACATTAGTGTAGATTTAATGGATGAATTACACTTTTTAGTTTTTGTTATGTAACCGTTTTTATTGTGATTTTTATGAAACGTGCCAAAAAATTTAATTAATACAAGGTTGTTTTGTTATTTGCGTTAGAAGTTGCTATTACGTTTAATAGTTTTGATTAAAATACTTGATTTTCTTACTTACTAAACCTTGTAGTTATTTATTTAAATATATATATAAGCCAATAAATATATAAACACTAGAAATATGAACATATATGAAAGTGTGAGCAATTTGCTCGCGCGCGCCTACTCGTGTAAGAAAATTAGGCCCGCCTTCTCACGGGTTAAAACCGGTGATGACCGACGATGCAAAAACATTTTTTCATGCCCTACTGAAATATAGAAATGTATGCGAAAATTTCATGTCAAGTTAGAATTTTAGTTCTTTTCATATATATATATATATATATATATATATATATATATATATATATATATATATATATATATATATATTTATATATATATAAGATTATATTGGGCGACATTTGGAGACTTTTTCTGTTACTAAATTCACTTATAACTAGGGACTTTTTGATGGCAGTCTCTCAGAGACCTTCACGACACTTCCTGCCGCCCAGTCAGTTTCCCTTCGGCCTTTGAAGGGGTAGGTTGTATCGCTTACGATCAGAATACACATTACGCAACGCCACGACGTAAAATTAAAATGGGAAATAACCGTAATAAAAATAAGAAGCGACTGGGTTGGCGTTAAGAAACAGGCATAAATATGATTAACCTAATGAAATAAGTGTCTAACGACCTATCTACTTACAGTATTAGTGATTATAAACATGTCGGTACATAGCATACGACGCGCGGGGAAGTGGGGGCGAAATTAGAATTTGAGCTGACTTACTATATCCTCTTAACGCTTCACACTGATAAGTTCATGAGAGCGCCAAAACGGGCACAATTACTCTTTATGGGTTTACCTATATCAATATTGATTCTCATTTCATTGTTCCTAGTTCCTACTATTAATGAACATTCGCATAGTTACAAGTATCTCCACTTCAAACCATTATACCTTTAAAACAACACCACTTATCCACTGAATGTTGTCATAGTTACCAATTATATCACACTTCAAGAGTATTCTGAAGTACTCTCTGTAAACTTAAGATATCTTACTAATTGTGTGTAAATATAATAAAATGAAATTCCTAAAATTTTATATGTGGTAGAGCCATGCTATAGCTATATTAATAGTATTGTTCTAGCACGAATGGGTCGGCGCAACCAGGGAAGAACCACGCTCTCACAGAATATCAGCGTAAAATAGCAGCTGTTTCGTATGGTGAGTGTAGAGAACTGGAGACCCTTTTTACTAGAAAGGAGGCATTCCATCTTAGTCCTCATGGGTGACAACGCATCTCCATTTTGATTCGCGAACGAGGATAGATGTAGATGTATATGGACCACAGCGACCACTTACCATCAGGCGGACTGTGTGCTCGCTTGTCACCCTTATCTAATAAAAATACGTTTATTTTTACAATATCGTGTTTATTATATGATTAACTTTGACAATAGATCGTTTAATATTATTAATACTTAGAATCTGGCGTTACTTTCTGTAAATCTATTATAGCAACAATGTTAAAATTAATTAAGTTGTTAAAATTAATTAAAAATCTGCCCCCTCTTTCAAACGGAAAACTTGTACCTCGGCGTTTGTCTATCTGTTTATAATAGACGTCTATCAAAAGACTAACACAAGTAAATAATTGAAAATTTTGCATAGTTACAGAATTCAATAACATGAATAAGGACGGAAGTGTTGAAAATTGTAAAATTCAACTTAGGGCTATAGACATTTACATTTATCCTCGATTAAGAATCATAATTCATATGCCTTTTCACCCCTGAGGACTAAGATGGAATGCCTCGTTCCCAGTAAAAAAGGGTTTCCGGATCTCTAGACTCGCCATAAGAAACACAGCAGTATTAAGCTGCTATATTACGCTGGTATTCTGTGAGAGCGTGGTCCTTCCCCGGTCGAGCTGACCCATTCGTGCTACAACCATAATATAGCTGCAGCGTGGCTCTACCACGTATAAAAATTAATATAAAAATTAATACAGGAAGTAGGATAATTAATTTAAGAAGAATTTTATTTCAAATCATTGTGTGGTATTCAATAAATAGGCTTATTAATTACTATCTGCCTAAACCTTCAAAAGCAGCGTTGAGAAAATTTAAAATATTGATATTAAATTTTTACTTGAAGTAAATTGTAAAAGTAAGTTGTCATTTTTTATGTTTTTCATTAATAGTTTTCGACAAAAATACTTAAAAAATCTGAAGCTAAAACATCATGAAGAAATAAGTGTTTACTGGACCAACATTATGTGATGCTATGCGCGATCATTCGTTATAAAAAATCTAATAACTTAGGTTGGTATCAAGCAGAGAACGCTAATTATGTGTAAGTAGGAATAGTTTGCAACTTGCGACTTTTCAATTACATAGAAAATATAAATGTTTTTTCGCTTGCAAATAATTGGTTGTTATCTATTCAGTAAAATTCTAAGCGAAAACTTAGATTAATCCATAATAAAAAACCAACGACGGATGGTATTGTTCGTTTCTCTATTGATGAAAAAATAAAACAAGTCTTTCATCGCATTGTCGAATGTAATTGGATAACAGAACAGGAGTATTAGTTTGCTTCGAGTTACTAATTGCGCTCAAGTAGGTAATCGTTCGAGAACACCGTAATTTCAAATGCTTTAAATGATCAATAATTATATGATAGAAATAAGACAACACGCTGAGCATGTTTTAAGTATAAGTATCATTATGATTGGAAATAAGAGATTATTATTTTTTGTCATAGTTCTCGTCTGGTTGAGATCTGATCTGATTTAAATAATAAACAGATAGAATATGATAAAATAGTATAAAAGTAATAAATACCTATCAAACATAAATAAATTATATAAATAAAACTCAACCATGCAGCAGCTAGCGGCGGGAAGATAAACGGCCCAGAGTTATGGCGTAATAATGTCCTCCAGACCGAATTTCGGCCACGGCGGCCTGCCTCAACGGAGGCTAGCCATCTGCGCAGGACAGGATTATAGTGCCCAAGTGTATGCGCAAGCACAAGTGCACTCTCTATTCCCTCACTCTCATAATCCGATGGGACGGTAAACCGACACGACCGGAGAGAGATCAGGCGCAGGACCAACGGCTTTACGTGCTTTCCGAGGCACGGGGGTGAGACACCGCCAACTTCCTGACTCCGGGCAGCTACTGAAAATTACTTGACGGAAAAACTCAATAATTGATTTTGTTGGCCCGGCCCGGGATTCGAACCCAGGACGTCACGATCAGCAGTCGTACTACTACAACCACCAGACCAACGAGGCAGTCAGGTAGTAGGGCGTAATATATATTCTTTGGTGTGGATGAGAGGGAACGAAACCAGCTAACGATTTGGATGCTATAAAGAAGCACCGCCTTCTGCATTTGAGCCTGGTGTGGTCCGTAGTGGGTTCCTAATTTCCTCAGATGACCTGAAAGGCTGACCGGAATTAACGTTTACAGAGACAACTACTGGAACAGTTTCAGTCGGTATACCACCTCACATGTCGGTTACCTCATGAGCCAGGTTCAGATATTTTCTGTTTCGGCTTCCACGAAGTTTTTGTTATACGCAATGGTAATGTCCCTATATTGAATGAACTTTGTCCAAAACCACAATAACCATACTATAACACCACTGTACGTACATGAAGTTTGAGCCTGGCGTGATCATTTTTGGGCACTGCCTTTCATCATCATTATCATCATTACAGCCCTTCACAAATCCACTGCTGAACATAGGCCTCCCGCAAGTAATGCCACAAAGCACGGTCCTGAGCCACCTGCATCCATCGACTTCCTGCATATCTTACCAAGTCGTCACTCCATCTATTTGGGGGTCGCCCTACACTACGCCCACCGGTACGAGGCTGCCACTCGAGAACCTTTCTTCCCCATCGATTATCGGTTCTTCGAGCTATATGGCCGGCCCATTGCCACTTCAGCTTACTAATCCGTTGGGCTATGTCGGTCACTCTGGTTTTACTGCGGATATCCTCATTTCTGAGTCTATCACGCAGAGAAACTCCGAGCATAGCCCTCTCCATAGCTCGCTGAGCGACCTTGAGCGTCCTCATACGGCCAGCAGTGAAGGACCACGTCTCAGATCCGTAAGTCATCACTGGCAACACGCACTGGTTGTACAATCTAGTTTTTAGAGATTGAGGTATACCTGTCGTAATTTCCCGAACGCTGCCCAGCCGAGTTGAATCCATCGATTGACCTCTCGGTCGAAGTTGGACTTACCTAGTCGGACTATTTGTCCCAGGTAAACGTACTCGTCAACAACTTCGAGCATAGTGCTCCCAACAACTACCGGCATAGGTGTGACATGGACATTAAACATAATCTTTGTTTTATCCATGATCATCTTAAGACCTATCCGTTGGGAGGCACTATTGAGATCATTGAGCATAGTGCTTAAGTCCTCCAGCGATTCTGCCATAAGGACTATATCGTCGGCAAATCGAAGGTGAGTGATGTACTCACCATTGATGTTAATACCGTATTCTTTCCAGTCCAGTAGCTTGAAAACGTCTTCCAATGCAGCGGTGAAAAGTTTCGGGGATATAACGTCAACCTGTCTTACACCTCTCTGCAGTTGGATAGGTTTCGAGCTCTGGTTCTGTACTTGGATAGCCATCGTAGCCCTACTGTACAAACACCTCAGCACTTCGATATACCGACTGTCAACTTGGCACCGCTGAAGGGACTGTAGCACCGCCCAAATTTCGATGGAATCAAAGGCTTTCTCATAGTCCACATACGCCAGGCAAAGTGGCAGATTGTACTCTTCAGTCTTCTGTACAATCTGCCGCAGGGTATGTATGAGGTCTATGGTACTGAACGCTTTTCGGAAACCGGCTTGTTCGGGAGGCTGGAAGTCATCGAGTCTGCATGCGAGAGATTCGTAATGACTCTCGAAAACAGCACGTAGACGCGGCTCCGAAGGGAAATCGGTCTGTAGTTCTTCAAGAGAGCGTCGTCGCCTTTCTTAAAGAACAAGACCACCGCACTTCTGCTCCACGCCTCTGGAGTAATGCCACCATGGAGGACGGAATTGAAGAGCTTCTGAAGGACTTCAAGTACCGGTGTTCCACCCGCTTTCAGAAGCTCCGCTGTAATTCTATCCTCGCCTGGGGCCCTGTCGTGTCGTTTTAAGGTGCTGGAGAGCCATTTTAATTTCGCTTAGACTGACGTCCGGGATATCATCGGAATAGTGTCGGATAAGACTTGCTCTTGGATCGTTACTCACACTTGCGTGTGGCTCCAACGATGATGTGTACAGCTGCCCATAGAACCTCTTAATCTCACTCAAAATCTCAGGTGTCCCGGAAACGATGCTGCCACATCAGCTTTAACAGTTGGCTCTTACTGGCAGACAGATCTCTGGCAAAGACTTTGGAGCCCTGGTTCCGCTCGATCGCTTCTTTAATAGGAGCAGTATTAAAGTTGCGTAAATCTCGCCGCTTGCATTTGGAGATATGTCTGTTTAGCTACATGTATGCTGTCAAATCTGTTGACGATTGCAGCCTCATCTCCCGTCTAACAGCCATGAGATTAAGATTGTGATCGGAGAGTTTTTGTGTTCTTCTGCGGCGGGTCTTGCAGAACTTAGCTCCGACCGCATGGACAGTTTCCACGAGCTTGTCATTCATATCGTCCACTGCATTGCAATCTTGTAGGCACTGAAAGCGGTTACGTAACTCGAGCTGAAAGTTTTCGGGATTCTGGATTAGAGCACGAGGGAGCCGGAGCGTTGACTTCATTATACGAGACCTCTCCAACTTAACGTTTAGATTCAGTGTGCCTCTAACTATTGGGTGATCGCATCCAGTTTTCACCCTTGCGATCACTGAGACATCACTGAACAGTTGGCGTCTGGTCGTCATAATGAAGCCAATCTCATTTTTTGTCGAACCGTCGGGGCTCGACCAGGTCCAC